GCTATTTGAGCACTCTTGGTGCCCAGGTCAGGTCCCAGAGGACTGGAAAAAGGGCCTAATGTGGTACCTATTTTCAAGTAGGGGAAGAAGGATGATCTGTGTAACTATAGACCAATTAGTGTCACCTCTATCCTTAGAAAAACCTTTGAAAAAATTATTAAGGATCACATTTGTGGGAGTCCAGCAGGAAAACAATGCTGAAGGGCAACCAGCCCAGATTCATAGCAGGTAGATCCTGCCTAACTAACCTTGTTTCTTTTTATGACCAGGTCACAAAATGCTTAGACGCAGGAATCAAGGCAGATGTCATATACTTGGATTTTAAGAAGGCCTTTGATACAGTATCTCATCCTATTCTCATAAATAAACTGAGCAGCTGTGACATACATAATTACAGTCAGGTGTGTAGCAAATTGGCTTAAGGGTCACAGCCAGAGAGTGGTGATGGATGGGTTGGTATAGACCTGGAAATATGTGGGCAGTGGAGTCTTACAAGGCTTGGTCCTTGGACTTGCGCTGTTCAATGTCTTCATCAGTCACATGGATGAGAGCATGAAGAGCACTCTGTCCAAATTCACAGATGATACCAAATTATGGAATAAAGTTAACACACTATAGGGTAGAGAATGAATCCAGGCGGATCTGGACGGGATGGAAAAGTGGGCAGAACAGAATAGGATGCAATTCAACAAGGACAAGTACAACGTGCTGCACCTAGGGAGAAAGAATCACCAGCACACTTACAGGCTGGGGGAGGACCTTTTCAGCAGCACAGCAGTGGAAAGGGATCTCAGAGTCATTGTTGACACCAAGATGAACATGAGTTGTCAATATGATGAAGTGATCAGTAAAACTAACCACATTTTATCATGCATTAGCAGGTGCATGACAAACAGGTCCAGGAAGGTGATACTTCCCTTCTATGCAGCATTGATCAGGATGCAGTTGGAATACTGCGTCCAGTTTTGGGTGCCACACTTCAAGAGGGATGTGGACAGCCTCAAGAGGGTTCAGAGGAGGGCCACTCATATGGTTAGGGGCCTGCAGGCAAAGCCCTATGAAGAGAGATTGAGAGCCCTGTATCTCTTCAGCCTCCACAAGAGAAGGCTGAGGTGATCTTGTGGCAGCTTACAACTTCATGGGGGACGGGACAGCAAGGAATAGGAGATGCTCTGTTTACCAAGGCACCCCTTGGAGTAACTAGGAACAATGGCCACAAACTGATGGAGAGCAGATTTAGGTTAGACATGAGGAAGAATTTCTTTACAGTAAGGGTTGCTAGAATCTGGAGTGGGCTTCCAAGGGAGGTGGTGCTCTCCCCTACCTTGTGGAGTCTTTAAGGAGGCTAGACACGCACCTGGCTGGGGTCATCTGACCCCAGCACTCTTTCCTACCCAGGGCAGGGGGTTGGACTCAATGATTTACTGAGGTCCCTTCAGATCCAAACATCTATGAATCTATGACTTGAGACCCTCTGGGTTAGATTACTGGGGGGACCATGGTAAGGGGGATATAATGGTAGGAGTCTACTACAGACCTCCTAACCAAAAGGAAGATCTTGATTAAGCATTCCTTAGGGAACTGGCACAGGCTGCATGCTCTCAGTGCACGGCTGTCATGGGCAACTTCAAACTGCCCTGACATCTCATGGGAGGAGCACTCTGCCAAATCTAATCGGTCTTGTAGCTTTTCATCTGCATCGGCGAGCTCTACTTGTCTCAAGAAGTATAATGGCCAACAAGAGGTATGGCACTCCTAGATCTGGTACTGGCCAAAGGGGATGATCTAGTGAGCAACCTGAGAATTGAAGGGAAGCTGGGAGACAGTGATCACTAGTTGATCACTTTCTCTATGCATTGCAAAGCTGGCAAATTAGTCAGTAATGCAGAAATCCTTGATTTTAGGAGAGCCAATTTTCATAAGCTCAGGAGGTTGGTTGTTGAGACCCTGAGAAACCATGATCTGATAGAGAGGGGAGTCCACAATGAGCGGTTGCTCCTTAAGGACATGATCCTTGAAGCACAAGGGGAGTCCTTCACAGCCTGTAGGAAAGGTAGCAAAAGGGCTGGGCAACCCCCATGGCTAAATAAGGGACTTATGGACCTCCTGTATCTGAAAAGATTAGCCTACAAGGGATGGAAGTCAGGTAACATCACCAAGGAGGAGTACTCAGTACTGCCCCATACCTGCAGGGAGCAAACTAGGAAAGCCAAGGCCAAAATCAAACTCAAACTGGCTACAGAAATCAAGGACAACAAAAAGTCCTTCTTAAGACACATGGGTAGTTGGAAGAAAAACAAGGGCAACTTCAGACCCCTGCTAAATCAGATGGGGCAGCTGATAACTAACATCCAGGAAAAAGCTAATCTCCTTAACAATTACTTTGCATTGGTCTTCCACCAACCCAAGGGGATCATCCTGCCGAACAAGATACAGGATTGCCAGGGTATGGGTCAACACACACCTAATCACTGGCAAAGATCTCATGAGGGAACACTTTTAGAGGCTGGACATCCACAGATAAGCTGGCCCAGATGAAGGGCACCCGAGTGCTAAAGGAACTGGCTGACATCATAGTGCAGCCAACAGTGAGGATTTTTGAGAACTCCTGGCACTTGGGAGAGGTTCCTGAAGAATGGAAGAGGGCTAGTGTGGTACCTATCTTCAAGAAAGGGGGGGAAGGAAGATCCAGGGAACTACAGCCCAATCACAGTCTGACCTCAATCCCTGGTAAGATATTGGGAAAGAGAAAAAGAAAAAAAAAAAGAAACTATTAACAACAGAATGCAACATTCTACAAGATAGCCAATATGACTTCGTTGCAGGTAGGTCTTGCCTGACCAACCTCATTTCCTTCTATGACCAGGTGATGCATCACCTGGACAAAGGAGAAGAGGTTGACATAATTTATTTGGACTTCAAAAAAAGCCTTTGACTTGGTCTCCCACGAAGTCCTCATGGTTAAACTGGGGAACTGTGGCGTCATCAACCTTACAGTCCGATGGCTCAGGAACTGCCTCTGTGGTTGGACCCAGAGAGAGTGGTAATTGATAAAACCATGTCAACATGGCACATGGTGACCAGCGGCATCCCCCAGGGCTCTGTACTTGGACCAGAACTCTTTAATATATTTATAAATTATATAGATTCAGGTATCAGAAGCGGACTGGCTAAATTTGTAGATGACACTAAATTATGAGAAAGCTTGGTCATGCTAGAGGAAAGCCTGGAGATTCAGGCCAACCTCAACAGGCTCACAAGGTGAGCAGAGCAAAACCTGATGGCATACAACGCAGAGAAATGCAAGCTGTTCCACCTCGGGAAGGGGGAATCCACATCATACTTGCAGGCTTGGCAGTGCTGCACTCACTAGCACCATGACCTAAAGAGACTTAGGGGTCGTGATTGACCAGAAGATGAACATGAGCCACCAATTCAATGCCGCAGCCGGCAAAGCAAAAAACCCCCTGGCTTGCATCTACCGATGCATCTCAAACAAGACCCAGAAAGTCATCCTCCCCCTTTACTTGGCCTTGGTGATACCACAGCTGAAATAGTGCATCCAGTTCTGGGCTCTGCAGTTTAGAAAAGATGTAGAGAAGCTTGAGAGTCCAGAGGAGAGCCATGCACATGATTAGAAGACAAGAGAACAGGCCTTTACAAGGAGAGGCTGAGGCATGGGACTCTTCAGCCTGAAGAAGCGAAGGCTCAGGGGGAACTTGGTAGCAGCCTATAAGTATATAAGGGGTGTGCATCAGGAACTGGAAGAATGTCTGTTCACCAGGGCACCCCAAAGGAAGACAAGCTCCAACAGTCCCAACTCTGGCTGGGAAGACTGTTTTAGGCTGGACATAAGAAAAAACTTCATTACTATCCAAGTCCCCAGAGCCTGGAATAGACTCCCCACAAAAGTGGTGCAAGGACCTACTCTGCACATTTTTAAGAAACACTTAGATACCCATCTTGCTGAGATCATTTGACCCCAGCTGACTTCCTGCCCCTTGGACAGAGGGCTGGACCCGATGATCTTGCGAGGTCCCTTCCAGCTCTAATGACTATGAAATATGACTCAGTCCTGACCAATCAGGACTACCTGTTCAAAGCCTTGGCCTCTAACATGTCCATCATGAATTGAAAGGAAAAACATTGTCTCAATATGGCAACCGGCCAACCACTAACTTAATGTTGTATGAGCCTGACAAACTCACAATGTATCTTGTTTAGGGTAAAGAGTCCCCAAACTGCTAACAGCATACAAGCTATAAGTAGGGGTCTACTGAACTCAAGGCAGCCAGCTGATTTCATGGGCAGATCCCAGAATGGGCGGCCATTTTCACAAACTGAGTGCAGCAGAGCTCCTCCATGCCTCTGATTGGCCAAGCAGCTCTGGCAGTCCCACCCACCCCCACAGATTGTCACACGCCCAAAACTATGGATTAATTACCCTGATTAAGACCAAGGAAGCCATTAAGCCACATGTTAAGTATGAATTAATGGCTTTGCTAAGCTTAATCAGAGAAATCAAGTCCTAGTTTTGGGCCACCCCAAGTGGTAGGCAGTTTTGGCAGCCTGCAAAAAAAAGCACACAATTTATGAGCAAGCAGAGAGAGTCTTGGAGCACATGGGGGAGGGGGGCGGTGGAAAGCAGAGCTGCAGAGAGTTATTGCTTGCAGTATCTGCACCTTCTGCTATAAGCAACCTTACCCTACCCCACCCCACCCCCTTCTTCCTGCCCCCTCTCCCCCCTGTGCTCTAAGAATCTCTGCTTGCCCAGTTTATTTTGTTTTTGCTACCCTGCCAAAATCCTGGAGCGTGTCCAAATTCAGTTTCTGCAAAAAAATTGTGCAGTCGTAAATTCAGTAAGTCCCTAACTATGAGCCACGTTATCTTGACCCTTTACAACAAAGCATTTTTCCTCTTTAATTCATAAGCTCATTCAGTTATTACAGGCAACCCATTTCTGACCATTTTATTTAAAATGTTTTATTCTTTATTTAAAGGGAATAAAATACAAATCTCAATACATCATTTAGGAATACTTAAGACACCAGAAAGGAAATGAGGTTCAGAATAACAGTACAAAAATGACAGGACGGGAGAGTAGATGTAGTGTTTCAAGTGCAAAAATTTAACAGCCATAGCAGTTTTAAGTATACCACTACTGCACGCACAGTAGCAAGATAATATTTCACACTGTGCCCAATGGGAAGCTCTGTGAAAATGGCAAAACCTACTCAGCTAAAGTAAAATATGCAGTTTTAATGATGGCCTGAAGAAGAGTTTTATCTGTATTTACAGACCTCTCTCTGATAAAACTTATGAGCAGTAGAGCATTAATTGGCATGTAGCAGCTTTGTAGAGAGTCTCATGGAAAGACTGTTTTTCCAACATATTCTGGTGCTCAGAAGCAGAATTGTGAAAATAGTTTGTACAAATGATGAATTTCAAGAACATGCATTCAGAACTTCGAAGCTAAAGTTTTTATAAGGCCCTGCCAAAAATATTAAAGAACTTTGATTTCTATGAAAGTGTGCAACATACTGCATACATCATGCTATACCTGTAAACCACATAACATACATACCAAACATTAGTTCATACTTGTAGGTAAAAAATGGCAAATAAGATTTCAGAATGCAAGAATGCTATGGGTATATGGTGCAATTTTTGTTGGATGGAAGAAAGGGATGCTTTGCACAAATGAAAGTGTATGTTACATGTTTCAAAATGCACAAAACTGGCAGCTTTTATGCCTACGAATTATTAAAACTTCATAAAGCATTAAGAGTTGCCGTTTCAGCACCATGACTACTAAAATGAACGAACTCAGAGCCATAGTTCCCTTGAGGGGAAAAGAGTTATCTAGTAAGCTTGTGTTTTACTAGGTTCATCCTACCAGAAATCTGATTCCCTGTGATAAACTTATGTCCCAATTTAGTTGTTTCAATAGAAGAGAATGTACTGAGCCACAGACAGTTCCAAAAAGTAGGAGTTATATAAATATTTAGTACATTCAAATAAAGGAGCTAATTGCTTCCTAACAATCAAATGCTAGGAAAGGAGATCAGTTAAAATCCTAATAGAGAAATACAAATACTGCATAACATACTCTGTATAAATGGCACGTACTCTTCCATTTTTAAAGCATAAAGTATAAGGAGGCCTCTGATGAGCTTACGTAAAAAGAGGATTTAAAATGCAGCTGGCATTTGTCTTGCGTAGTCATTTCAGAAGTTTCCCCCCAAAGTTTAAGGCTTTCCAATAGGTTTGTAGCATGCATCAGGCTGCCACATGCGAAGTTCCACAACAACTTGGTTAAGTTTTTGCATCCAAAGGTTACGTTCTTCTTTAGTATCTGCAGACAGCCAGTTCCTAAAAAAATGGAAAGCTAATTTAAAAGGATTTCTGCCACTTCTTTCCAAATGAATCCAAAGCATTTAGACCACCTTTATGACCTGCACTTAGATTATCTTTGTGACCTTCGGAAAAGGAAAACTAATTCTCCAAACTAGGAGATAAACAGCCAAATATCAGGCCCTGCAGAACACTATCATCTGGTCTACAGTGCTGCCCCCTCCCCTCCATGTCTCCGATTGGCCAAGGGGCCCCGGCAGTCCTGCCCCACCCCACAGATGGCCAATCTAGTTAGGCCACGTGGCAAAGGGACCTTGACTGGGCCTGTGCCAGCCCAGCCCCATATGCTACATGGGAAGTGTGGGGCCAGTCTGGGTTGCCCACGTCCCACACTAAACTGGGCCTGCTTGCTGGAGGACCAGCCCAGCACCACTAATCCAGCTGGTGGGACCTGATGAGTTTGACTTGCCTATGCTTCCTCCTCCCCTTCCGCAAGCCAAGCTCCAAATACCAGGAAAACATTAAATCAAGCTTGTCGGCTACATAACGTCGCTTCTACCACCACTTACAAAAAGGAACACGAATTCTCTGTAAGTGAACAGAATGGCAAATCAAGACTAGAACAAAATGGTTCTAGCATTATTCTCCACAACTCCCACTCAATGCCAATAGTTATACTCTAGTCACATTTGGAAGTAAAAGAGCAAGGACACTTAAGCCTATTTCCCCACTTACTTGGTAACACAGAGAGTATCTCTACACTGGCTGACAAGAGTCTCTCTGTCATCCTCCCTTTGAGGTCGGACAGTGATTAGCTCAAAAGTGTTAGGTCGGGCACAGAATTCTCTGTTGGCTGGTTCAATTTGACGATTAGTGCAGTTAGCCAAGTTTATCCGGCCCAAAGGATGCTGAAAGTAAAGTTATAGGAAGAATCACAGATACAGCAAATGGGATGTGACATTTTGCCCAGCACTTTCCTGTGGCAAAGGTGGTAAGTAAATCAAAAGCAAATTATGAAAGAGGACATTATATGAGTAGTGCATAAGTGAAAACCACATCTGGAGGACTGCACACACCGACAGTAGAATAAGCCCCACTACCATATTCTTCATGGCTACAGAAGCCACCCCCTGCCTACTGGGCTACAGAATCTCAGGACTTATTTAAAGCCAATTATGTTTCTAACTTTTGTACATGCAAGAGAACTTTATGCAAGATTCCTACTTCCAAGTTGATTGAGCCAGGCCACATTTTAAAAAGTCCAGATCAATCTGGAGGGATAGTCTGTACCATGGTCTTGGAAAGGAATGTTTCTGTAGCCACAGAAAAGTACCATTCCCCCCAGTTCAGTATGCAAACTGCTTCTTAGCTCTAACAAGCAATGCTGCAATACAGCTAACTTTCCTTTGTTTCCTAACAATGGAAAGATAGTTGTATCACAGCATATGTTCTGTACATTTTTCCAAAGCAAGCGCTGTAATCTTGTTACAGCGATTGTGGGGAGAATAAGGATAGAGCTGTCCAGCTGGGGAGATGAGCCATTAATGCAAACACAAGGAAAGGCTGAAAGAACTAAGCACATATACTTTGGGGAAAAAAAAGGCGACTACAGGGGGTACAGATAATAGTAGTCTTCAAATATCTGAAAAACTACTATAAAGGAGAACAATTGCTCTCCCTCAATGTAGAAAAAATGATGCAAGGCAATGTCTTCAAACAGTAACAAAAGGAGATTTAGATTAGATTTCAAGAAAACGGAAAGTCTTTCACAGTTAAAAAAGTATGGTGTTGGAATACACTGCCTAGGGAAGTTGTAGAATCTCCTTCATTGGAGGTTTTCAAGAAGAGACTGGATAAAGGATCAGACAGGACAGAGTTACAAACAGCTAGAGCATGCTATTAAGAGCATCATTGGGAAAGCCTAGGAGAGCCACACAAATGCATTACCACCCCTCTCCCCCCCACCCCTCCAAACCAGGTCAGAGCATTTGCCAGAGAACATTAGAAGAGCTCTGCAGGCCAGAAGAGGGAAATAGGAGATAACAATGCTCAGCAGCAGCAGAACAAAGCAGAGCTCCACAACCAGCTTGGTTGTACAAGATAAACCAGGATAAAGGTTATGGAGAGGATAGAATTAGGAAAAGAGAGTTCTGGCTTTCCAGTTAGAGTGCGAGATATATGGAGCTATGCTTGCAGTAAGCAGATTGCAACAGATGTCGGGTTATCCCATATTTATTGGGATTTTACTGGTAACTATGTGGGGGCAGGAAGGATTTTTTTCCTCTCCTGCTACTACTGGCATCTGAGTTGTTGGGGGGGGGGGGGGGGGGGGGGGAAAAAAAAAAAAAAG